TCCTCAACTTCCTCAACTGATGATTGTGTTGTCTGGGGGGTGTCTGTGTTTGAGTGTTTTGGGGGGTTTTTTGGTGGTTTTTTTTTGTGTGTGTGTGTTTTTTAATTATTATTTTTATTAAGAGTTGTCTGTGTGTTTAGGTGGAGTTACAGTTTGCTCTCCTGAGGTCACAGTGGGTAAAAAGGCCACAATTTTTAAAAGCTCTACTTAAATGCTGTCAAGGGATTGCTGATGGCCTTGCTGTGATTTTTAAATGCCGTCAATTTAGTTACTGTTAACAGCAGAACATTAATGGCTTGTAGTAATCCTTCAGGTTGACAGATGTGATCCAGAGTGCTTGGAGGGCAAGGATGGGTTTGGTTTGCAAGCTGCTAGAAGGGCAGTAACTTCCATGTGTCATACCCAAAGAGCTTTATATGTAACTTCAGGCACAGAAGGGAGTTTTCTGGCTTGTAGAATAGATTAGTTTGCTGAGAGGTGCTGCTTCTGACTGCTGCTCTGTTGGTTTCCTGACATACAAAGCCCTGGTCTTGCTACAATTTATGGCACTTGCATGCTCCAGGTATTGCTTCCAGGCAAGAAAACAGTGAGCACAGAAGGTTGTAGGACAGCTTAATACTAACTCTTTATGGTCTTTCAGCCTTTGGCATCTTTGAACTTATCAAAAATGTTACTGCATCACATGAAAGTATTTGTGGTTGATTGGTGTGACGGTTTTTTGGTCATGTGGATGGGTTTTGGTTTTTGTACATGAGTTGTTGATACTTAAAGCAATTTAGGAAACCTACTCATGGACTGCAGTGCGTATTTGCATTCACAGCCGGAACTGTGCTGAGAGTGAGTCGTCATTCTGCCTTACCCAACCTGTGAATTGAGGATTTCAGCCTTCAGTCAACAGGCTTTCCTCCGATGCTGCTTGTTCTTCAGCTTGGTTCTGAAAGCTGGTGCTGGTGTTTGTTTTGTGGTGTTTTTTTTTTTTTTAAAGTGCTATCCTAATATAAATGATCAGAGTAAACCAGTTGATGCACTTGGTCTTGATATGTTTTTCCCTAGAGATCAACTACCTAACTTATGCATTTGGGGAACATTAGTGTCTTCAAGGAGAGTTTTTAGTCTGGAAGATGAAGATTTTTTTGGAGAGTTTGTGGTTGCTTTTTTTTTTTTCTTTTAGGAAATGAGTTTTATGGGATTTACTCAAACTGAATAATGTTGGGGATTTTATGAAGCGTAAATATTTGCAAGTCTTATGTGCTCTGTGGCAAAATACTATTTCTGTTGTGTTAACTCCTCTCTCAAATGAGTACTGACTTTGAACTGAACCTTTATTGTATCTAAAGCATTTAAAGAGATTTGGTGTACTAGTTGCTGGTTTAAAGCGGAACAGTTTCCCTTCCCTAATTGAAAGTTAGATGTTCATGCAGAATCCATTCAGGAGAGAGACTGTCTGCTCTTTGGTGCTATGGAAGTATTTACTGAAGGATTTTTTTTCTTTTTCTTTTTCTTTTTTTTTTTTTTGAGCATTTTTCAGATGACCTCTGCTTAAATTTCTGTGACTTTTTTTTTTCCTTTTGATGTCCAGATATTTTATGTACAGTTAAAGCCAGCTCTTCAGCAAGGAGAGGTATGCATGTAGAATGAAACTTATTATGGAAGATGAACTGAGTATAACAGAGTGGTGTCCTGGTAAGAGTCACGATTCTTAGGTTACTATTCCAATTTAATTTTGGAAACAAAAACTATTAAGCTGAGGTTTGAGTGTAGTATTGTGACAACTGTTGATTGGAGTAAGTTTTGTTACTGTGAAGGGTGCAAGACGTTCTCTCTCAGCTCAGTGACTGGCTCTCTTGGATGCACTGCAAGAGAAAAATACTGCTGTGACAGATGCCTGCATGAGGAATTCCCTTCCTCCCTTCTGCCCCTGTGCTGCTAAGTGGGAATTCTGTCCTCTGCCTGCCTGCTGCTGTCTGGTTGCCCAGCCTCATAAAACAGGGCTGCAAAGCGCAAGGCATTTCCCTGCGAAGAGTTGCAGCAGAATGCAGCCTGCCTGCTACTGCTGACCAGTTTGTGAAGGCCAGCGGTCTGGTAAGGGACAGGTCTGGAGAATGTCTCTCGGATGGTGACCTAAGAATTTCAGAGCTGGCGACTGGATTTGCATGGAGGAAAAGGTTAAGTGGATAATGTTTTGGAGAGGGGGTGGAGAGTAGGCATAAGCATGTTCTTCATTCAGGGATGTGTCGTGCATTGCTGACAGAGATGGAAAAGCTCTGAGGAAGCCAGTCATTTAAAATGTTGGCGGTACCTCAGTACTCGGAGCTCCTTACAATTAAAAGCATCTGTGATTCATACTGTTCAGAGAGTTACTTCAGCTCTGGAAAGCAAGCTCATTTAAAGTTTCAATTAGACTACTAATTTCATTTGCATTTTGAGAGGAAGAGTCAGTTTTCAGCCTACCTTATCTGAAAATCCAAAGCTGTTAAGGCACAGGATACAGGTAAAACAACTATACATTAACTGTTATGAAGAGAAAAAATAAAGATACGGTGTACCCGTTGGCATGAACATCATGAAGTCATCCAGGCAGCAGAGTAGCAGATTTATCTAAGCCAGTGTTGGATGTAACCCAGTGGTATTCACTGTAGGTCATGGCATATTCTTAGTCCTTCTTCTGAGTGTCTGCATTGGAATTCAGCAGACAGATATTTAAATCTTTTGCTTCTATCTGAAACATTTGTTCAGACTCGCATGCATGTCCAGAAAGCACCTAATATAGACTTTGTTTCTCTTCTCATCTGTAAAAAAGATTACTTTTAAATAGTACAATTTTAAGAATCCTAAATGGAAAAAAAAAAAAATTAATGAAAAGCCTTGGTTTTATTTTGTGTATCTTGGAGTTTCAGACTTATTCTCCTCTCATTACAGCTTGGAGAAATAACTTTTAGAATTAAAAAAAGGAGTATATAAAATATTTAGTAATAGAATTAAGGGTTTGCACAGTTGACACAGCTAATACATGTCTAATTTGTTTTCAAATGCTGCATTATACTATCATTGTAGAAAATAGTACCATACCTATTAGGAAAAAAAACTTACAGGAGAAAAGCGGTGGCTTTTGGTATGGCAGATTTCACTTTGTTCAAATAATAATAATACTGAAAAATTGTTATGTCACAGAGTAATCATCCATAAGTCTGAAACCCCAAGATACACAAAATAAAAAGAAGGCTTAAATTGTAGACTAGAAAGTGGAATGAAAGCCGTGTTATTGGTGGTTGTCCTTGCTTTGCTGCTTTTCCTTTTTTTGTGATAGTTGTAAGGATTTAAAATGGACTGATTAATTTAAATGTGAAATTGTAGAACCAGAAGGAAGATTATCCTATGACATAAGCTGTTTTTTTTTTTCCAGTATATATTTCTATTACATGCTATAAATATGAAATGACTATAACCATAAACTTCATTAATGTGGGCTGCCATGATGCTTTATAAAGCATAGTGGTCTTACTGTTATTGTCACTTGACTTTTGATTTGCTACATGGGTTCTTGCTATAACCCTTTCTGTGTAGTAACCACATACTCACATTCTTAACTCCAAAGCATATATCTTGGAGGGGGAAGACTCTTGCTGTCATACCAGTAAAAATGCAGACTTATCTAGATGAAGTAGAAGAGACTAAAAGAAAGAGCAAGCTTACCAGCACTGCTTAAAAGGAATCCAAACCTTCTTGTCTGAAGGTAGAATGCAGTACATACTTTATTCTGGCAATGCTTTATTACATGACTTAAAATTATGCAAGGCTTTAACTCTTTTCTCTGTGGTGTTAACTGAGAAGAGGATCTATTTTTCTTTCTTACTAAAAATTTATTAAATTAGGATTTCAGCTAACACTTATGCAGTGTTTTGAACTCCAGATAAGATGGGTGGGGAGGGTTGGTGGTGGGTTTTTGTGTTTTATAATCAGTGGAATAATGAATGATTAGGGTAGGGTTGTTTTGAGAGAAATATCTCTAAGAACCAAATTTTAGGTAAAGAAAACAATAAAGAAGGAAGCTAGGATGAAATAATTAGTTTTCTTTTGTATATCCTGCTTTGTATTATCTGGATGCTGGGATGGATGAAAATTAAGTCAACATGGGTTGATTCGTTGCTGTTGTTCCTATTTAAATCAAGACTGATCTTAGTTTTGGTCTTAGTCAACTTTATTCCTGGATTGTGTTTGTAGTTTGTAATGACTATACGCTTCTGTAATCAAAGGTTCCCTTGAAGTAAAAATTGAAGTTTCCCTTACTTTCTGCAAATTATTTTGCTTCATTGCTTAAAGGCCTTGATCAAAAATGGCACACAGTCAGTGTTGATATGTAACTGAAATGCCTGTTACTATGATCTCATATCCTGTGAAGGAAATAGAGCAATTCAAACAAAACAGGAGATAATGTAGTTATGTGAAATGTGGCAATGAGCAGGATACTGCTACTGTCTATTCAGCAAGCCAGAGTTTTTCTAATACTTAAATTCTTCCATGATTTCTAGCATGATTTGTGCGGAGTGTCTTGTTAATTTGTTTTATCTAGGTGACTAGCTCAGAGAGGTAATTTTTTTTAGTCCCGTCCCCCTGTAAAACCCCACTTAAAGAAGAGTGGTTTCTTACTTTTTTGATTTGTAGCGTCCCATATAAATGATGTCCTTGCTTGACCATAAAGTTTAACAGTAGCTATCCAGATGTAGAATTCTTTCAAATACATTGTTAAAATATATCAGAGAACTTCTATGTAACTAGTAATTGTAGTTATGAATCTTGTTATGTTTTGTTGCTTTTACAGGTAAACAAAAAGGCTTTTTGTTATGGGATGGTCATGTTTAGACTTTGCATTCAATGGTCTTAATGCAACACCAGGAGATAATAGTTGTATTGAATGCTGTCAGGTATTTCTGTTCTTGATTTATCATAGTAGTTCTTCACAAACTTCTAATTTTTTTTTTTTCTCCCTCACCAGACCTTAATTTATTTTGGATTAGGATTCCCATGGCATGTGAACTAGAAGATAATTTGAAATAGAAGGTCTCTTTATTCTGAAGTGACAGTCTTTACCAAAATGGTTGGAAAACTCAAACAGAACTTGCTATTGGCATGTCTGGTGATCAGTTCAGTGACAGTGTTTTATCTGGGCCAACACGCTATGGAGTGTCACCATCGAATAGAAGAACGCAGCCAGCCTGTGAGGATGGAAAGTGTGAGAAGCACAGTAAGAACTGCTTCCGATGTAAATGCAAACAAAACCTTTGCTTACAACAAAGACATGCCTTTAATATTTATTGGAGGAGTACCTCGAAGTGGCACTACCTTAATGCGTGCCATGCTTGATGCCCATCCGGATATTCGATGTGGGGAAGAGACAAGGGTAATCCCGCGAATTCTGGCAGTTAAGCAGATGTGGGCTAGATCAAGCAAAGAGAAGATCCGACTGGATGAAGCTGGAGTCACAGATGAGGTTCTAGACTCAGCCATGCAAGCATTTTTATTGGAAATCATTGTGAAACATGGGGAGCCTGCTCCATATTTGTGTAACAAAGATCCTTTTGCTTTAAAATCCTTAACTTATCTTGCTAGAATTTTCCCCAATGCCAAATTTCTTCTAATGGTACGGGATGGTCGTGCATCTGTGCATTCCATGATATCTAGAAAAGTCACAATAGCTGGATTTGACCTTAACAGTTATAGGGACTGCTTGACCAAGTGGAATCGTGCTATAGAAACTATGTATAACCAGTGTATGGAGGTTGGTTTTGAAAGGTGTATGCTGGTACATTATGAACAACTCGTATTGCATCCTGAAAGATGGATGAGAACTCTCTTAAAGTTTCTTCGCATCCCATGGAACCAAGCAGTGCTGCACCATGAGGAAATGATTGGAAAAGCGGGAGGTGTTTCTCTTTCAAAGTGAGTATGAGCATTCCTCTTTTACCTTGTATTGTTCTAAGAGGTAAAATAGTATATTTTGCATATAAACGACTAGTCATAACTTGGTTTCAGTTTTTAAATAGCTAATGATGTTTCAGGAAGCTGATTTGTGATGCAGATTATCTGGAAAGTAAGAATCTTTGTTAACTAACAACTTGCAATCACAGATTGCTCCTGCTAAACAGTTGTCCCACTAACATATGTATTTGGAGCATGTAACTTTTAATGGTCAGTCTAACTTGAATTTGTATGTCTAATATCTGCCTTTCTTCCAGTATAGCTTTGCTTTTCCCTGTGCCCCAAAATAAAGCTGGACTGTTTTATCTAGACTGGTGTTATTCATCCTGGCAAGATCACCCGTTTGATTTCAGAAACTTGAAGTATTGTTGTCAATGCAAGAATGGCCTTTGAGTTATATTTGCCAAGAACATACTCTTCCAGGAAACTTGAGAAACTGCTCCAACAAAATAGAAAGCAGAATTGGCGTGCTTTTCTGTTGGCATGTGCTCCTAAAAGGACAAGCATTTTGAATAAAATTAACCTTGTTGTAAGCAAATCTCTTAGTGTTCTGTCGAGCCATCTGTGCACCTGACTTAGCTACTTTCAGAAACCAAAATCCAGCTCTGCTTAGAAAACCTGGATAGGTATTGTAAAAAGAGGAAAGGTGGGGGGGGGAACCAACACAAAAACCCCTAGCAAATTCTCCAGTTAAACTACTCTTTTTTGGTTTTTTTGGCCACTATTTACAGTGGAGCTTCTGGGATATGAAAGCTGGCTAGTCTTTATGGGGAAGAAACATGTGAATGTTTGAATCTCTCTTCTTCCTTTTTTTCCCGTGACAGATACATCTACCAGATTGTCTTATTTAAATTTCTAAAATATTGATTAAAAAGCCCCTTTCCAGCAGCAATGCATGTCCAGTTAAATGCTTTGGCTTCTGTTTTTATGAATATTCATCACTGGCCAAGTGCTTCTGAGTAACAGAGGCAACTTGCACAGCAAGTAATGGGGGCTGGGTAGAGACATTCAAACTGTTGAATACAGAGTGATTTCATTTTTTTAAAACTATAGTTTTGAGAAATAAAAACTGGGAGATTTTGTTTAAATAAAGAAAATTATAGAATTATTAGTCAGCAGCTAAAAAGAGAACTTAAAACTCGGATAATGATCATAAATTTGTATACAATCCGGAGGTTTTGCATCACCTTTCCCACTGAAGAAACACAGCCACCACCACTGTGTTAGCAGAACTATCAAGAAGGCATCTCAACCTTTTTTTATGGTGCTGTTCGTTACCGGATTGAAGTCTTCTGATGTTGTTAACCTGAAGCTGTGTTCTGTTATACGTGTCTGCAAGCTCTATCTGTATGTGCACTACACTTCAGTTACCTGTATCATGTTACTGCTTCACAGTGGCGGCTGAGGGGGCAGTAAACTCACTTTTACTTGTATAAGTAGGTGGTTGCCAAGTTCTGTTAAGTGTCCTGTAAAAATAACTATGCATAATGCCATTTCTAGTAAAATATTATTACCTTTCAGCTTCCAGTTCAGCATTTTTAAAAAATTAATGGACCTCTAAGCTATAAAACTCAGTAGCCTTACTGAATTCATAGACTTTCGAGTAATATTTTTTGCTAAATCTGGTGGAATGGGATGTGAGGAGTTGAGAATACTTGTTCGTGTGTCTCAACAATCCATTTTCTTAGTTTTTAAAGTAAGATGTGGCTTCATGATTATTTTTTTAATCAAATTTTCAAATTGAAGACAAACAAGTATGGAAGTATTCCTGTGACCCTCAATTCAATCTGTTCATGGAATTCTTCAGGCTTTTATTATCTCTTGTGAGCTGATATGTGAAAGTAATTTGTTATTTCAGAAGGCTTTGGCAATCATGGAAAAAGAGTTTATTAGTATTATGTCTGGTGTTTGTCTAATCAAATACCCTTGAAATATATGGTGAGATTTGCTTTTCAGTTGCAAGAGACCTTTATAATTTGATAGTGATTTCAGTGACTCAGTCTTTTGAGGGCTGCAGAAAAAACAGTGAAGATGAAATTCTGTAACTTGGATGTCTGTTTTGTGTATTATATGATACTAATTGAAATTGAGCAACTGGAGCTTGAGATTCCCCAATTTTATTTCCTTGTACCAGTTAAGACCTCCTACTTTTGGCATCCCCAGCTCCTCACTACCATCTCGTGTGCAGCAGAGTGCTGTGGACAGGGATCGCTGCCTGTTTAGGGGGTCCTTGTCCAGAGCAGGCAGTAACTGCTCAGAAAAATTACTCTTTGAGAAGATGCTTGCTAGGTAGTTTACTGAGAACTTTGGAGCCTGCTACAGGCAGCTTATCAGATTTTGACAGCTGAACAGAATATACCTTGCCTTAGATTTAGTTTCCCTTCTATCAAGTTGCATTTGGCTTGTTCTCAGCTGCAGCAAAATTCTTTATGGCCTCGGGTGTGCATGGCTGTTAAGTTCTAGGTCAGGTTCTAACCAGTGTTTTTCTCTTATGATTTAGAATTTCCCTTCAGCCTTGCAGGAGAGTGCTCTTTACTTCACAGAGTGAATATTGTCTTTCAGCTGAAAGAACAGAGTCTGGAGCAGTGCACTCCATGCTCTGATGAGCGGCTTTCTCCCACCTGACTATCCAAAGTGATGGTGCTGAAGGTCACTTCGGGGATAATCTGAGGAAATTCAAAACACCGCTGCCTATTACAACTCTGTCTTCTCACTGAGCTTTAATTTACCACAAGCCTGGTACCAAGTGCTTCAGGCTGTTTCATAATAGTATATTAAAATTGGAACACCCAAATTATATTATGGTTTTTATTGGCAGGAGGGGGATATCACAAGTACTAAATCATCTGTATTGAAATGTGATGTTCATTTGAAAGATACTACCACATAGGCCTAGCCTCTGTAGCATAATAGGAAGAGTATGAATATCTAGATAAAATTAGTTCCCTAGTTGTCTGCAAAGTATTAGGTAGGGTAGAAAACCTCTGAAGTCAAAGAATGAACGAGTATAATCTGCAAAGGCTGTGATACTGTGTAAAGAGTTCAGAAAATGAGCAGAGGAACCTGCCTCAGTCATCTTCCACTCACCTTTAAGGCTTTTAGACGGGCTCAGTATCCACTTCAGAGGCATGATGCCCGCTTAAGTCAGGTCCACCATAAGATGCCTGGAGGTGTTTTTAACTGTTGGAGGGTTTTTGAAAAGAAATCTGGTGAGTTTGTTTTCTTGAAATACTTAAAAACACTTTGAGAAAGAGATCGCAGTATCACTGGAAGATCTTTGTAATGATCTTACTACCTGGTAACAGAAAGTGAATGTTTAAGAATATACTTTTAACTCATCGGAAATACAGATTTCATTTGACAGAATTAATTTTTATCGGATGAATGAGGCTCTAGGTCAGCGTAGGGTGTTTTATTTTCAGTTGTATATAGGGTTAAATTGTGCATGCAGGCTGTTTCACTTCCAGAGATGAGCTAGCCACCCAGTGGCTTGCAGAATTCTTCAGGCAGCGAGGTGACTCCATTTTTCTTTTATTCCGGACTCAAAAACTCTTATGCAATAGTCTGTTAATAGCAATATTAGATACTAGACAGTCTGTATTTAAGATTCTGACTTTGTCTGTTCCCCTGGCTGCTTGATTTGAGGAAACTTTTGGCTGCCTTAATTCTCTTCTCCTGCATTTGCTTCGTAATCCCTGCTTTTTCTGTTGTTCATGTAGCCCTAGCCTCACTGTTGTTCTATTTTACTTAATTTTTTTGCCTCTTATTCTGGCTTTTGTCCAGCTGCAAGGAGAAACACTGCAAGGGTTTTAAGGATGTGCACCACAGCATTTGTAGTAGCGTGAAACCTTCTGTGGTTTGAAGTAATTGCCAACGTGGCTGTTGAAGGAATGTATTATGGCTGGACTACATGCTATAACTAGTATTGTTAATACAGCTCTGGTATTTGCCTCATAACCGAAAACAGCTGTGGTGACCACTGATGCAAAGAAATGTCAACCCTTTTATAGCAATTTTTATTAGGCTTATTATGAAAATAGCTGTCCAGGCAAAATTACTTCGGAATATACTATTTTTAGTACATACCTTTCATTTGATTCTAGTGCAGATGTAGAAGTATTTGGGGCTAGTTATCCTGTGTTCCATGCTACCAGCTGCTTTCAAAGCTGAAACTGTTTCTGTGGTTTTGCAGTGGAGCCTCGCAACACTGACCAGGCGGCATTTGCCATATGCATACATAATCAAATTTGCCAAGATTTGGTATCTTTCCTTGTTTTGCTTTGTTTGGATTTTGGGGTGTTTTTTTCCTCCCATCCGCTCTCTGTCTTCCCTTATGCTCCTCAGATGTTCTTTGGTCTGAATAATCTTTCTCGCAAATTGCGTTTTACTTTTCTTCCCACCTTAACTAAAAGGACAGAAAAGGATTTAAACAGAAGACCAAATCTGGTACTGTATATTTTTGAATCGGTGCCTAGGAGCAGCTAAACGCTTATCTCTTGCCAGCTATTAATCACCAGGAAATGTTTCATGCTGAGCTTATTGTTACCAAAGACAGTGGGGCAAAACATACACATTTTAAATATGCTTTTACTTCAGGACAAGGTATTCATATGTGTACTAATTTACGTCCTAATTGATGTATAGCACCCATTCTTTTGGGGTTCCAGTAGACTACTAGCCCAGCCCATTCTTACAGTATCGCCCTTATTTCACCAGTTGTGGTGAAGGGATTTTGGGCTTGGCTGGCTCTGTATGAGAGGAAGAGGACCATAAACCTTACACTTTTCAAACACCTAGTGATAAATTTTTCTTGAGGGTCCCACCCACCATGGTTCTACCGACTCCTGACTGTTGTGGTGCTTTGTACTCTGCCTTGCCACTTCGAATGTCTGAAACTCAACTCTTCACAGCTATTTTCTTGCTAATTTCATGTGAAGTCAGATGCTCATCTTTTAATTAGAAGGATCAAAAAGGCAATGCCCAGACTTTTTAGTTTGCTATACAGACTTGTGATCTCGGGCCAGTAGCCTCCAAGAAGGCTGAAATTTGGTCACAACTCCCTGGTCCCAAAATCCCATTCTAAGTTCCTGCCTTTGGTTTGAGCTACTGAAAATGGTTGAAGAGAGTAAGGCTGCCAGTGCTGGGGGTTGTCTTACAGGTTGTTTTTGTTTGTCAGGTACTCATCAGCTTCCATTAAATACCTCTTGCAGCAATCTGTGAAGGCCTTGCTTGCCAAGACAGTTTCCCCATGGGTGACCATTTCCCTGTCTGGTTTGTTCTTTGTTGATTGTGTTTAAAGTACTTAACTTACTGACCTTCCAGCATTGTATGACTAACTTCCTTCCTCTGTCCTGGAAGAATTTGAGCTATGATGACAAGCACAAAAGAGTAAAGACTGGTGTTAAGAGCAAATTGAGTTAATGACTGGCAGACATGCATGCATAGTTTGTAATTTAAGGCTTTCATTGCACAGTACAGTATGCATCTGAATGGGATGCATCTTGCTGTTGATGTAATGTTCGCTTAATGTGCAACAATACTTCAGCCTCCTTTTGGACTCATGAGGTTAATTAGATAGCTGTAATCAAACTTGTTCTTTGTGTAAGTTGACTGATGTCAGTCTTGAGAGCAATTTGCCTTTAGCTCAGGTTTCTGGTCTCGGAAACTATTGCGATTATTTCAGGAAACTTCTATTTATCTTTCTCAGAAGATGTTTTCTCATATTCTGCCTGCTGTATAACACTGAAGGATTAGCTGCTTGAGAATTAATTTGAATCTCAGTATTCTCATTCTTTATCTTGTGTAGATGAGGTACTCACGTTGTACTTTGTACTGTTACTTTCAATTGTAACAATTTCGTTTTCTGAGTGGTAGAGCTTTTTGAGATCAAAATTCTTTCTGATGTAAATAAGGCCCAGGAAGGTTGATAGCTGCAAGTGGATGTGACAGCTGAATGCTCAGCATCAGGTTTCAGGGAGGTTTAGCCAGCCAGCAGGAACTACTGTTACCGTGGCATACCTTATGGTACTACCTGCAATGCAGGTGTAAGTATTCCTTTAGGCATCTTGTATATACAGATCTGATTTTTAACCTTCCTTAAAAGAAAGATGAACCTTGACATCTAAAATGCATGTGTGCTTTTTTATGAGTTCTGGAAAAAAGTTGGGAGGCTTTTAAATTACTCGACCTGTTTTGAGTCCTGCTGGCCTCTTTCAGAAATAAATGCAATAAAGAAGTTGTATTTCTTTTAATCTAAAAGAAACATGGAAAAAGACAGTGATGTCAGATTTCGTCCTTTAAAAAGAAACTAACAAAAACTAGGGTGCAAGAGTGAAAGCAACTTTAGGACTGTTGATTAAACAAGCACCAAATCAACTATTTTCTAAATATCGTACATATGACACTGCTATGATTATGCACTTGCCTGTCTTTATGAACTGTGTAATGATGAAACACAGTAAAAAGGAATAGTTATGAAAAATATTACTGTAGTCTATACCTTTGTCATTTCCATAGGTGTCTCTTTTTTATTAAAAAAAAAAGTGTAGTCGCAGAAAATAAATGGCACATGAATTTTAATTTGGAATACAACTTTTAAGAGCATTTAAGACAATGAAACAGCAAATGCAGGAATATGCCAGTGGGAAGACAGCTTTATATGTAGGTGTATGCATACTTTTCACTTAGCAGTAAAAGCCAAAGAACTGTTGTTACGTAAAAAAAACTTGCTTTGGCACGTTCTGTGTGAAAGCCTAAACAAGAAAGCATGGATGAATGTTGTCCTAGTTATTCTGATTTTAGCCCTACGTAGTAAAACTTCAATTCCCATCAGGTCTATAGAAACACAAAATTTTGAGAGGGAAAGAAGAGGAAGGGGAAAAAAGAAAAACACAACACAACAAGCTAAAAGTCTTAATGCTAGTGAAGAAGCAAGTATTGGTTGGAGTAAAAAACATAGAATTGTAGAATCATTTAGGTTGGAAAAGACCCTTAAGATCATTGAGTCCAACTATTAACCTAAGACTGTAAAGTCCACCACTAAACCATGTCCCTAAGCACACCTTTTAAATACCTCCAGGGATGGTGACTCAATCACTTCCCTGGGCAGCCTGTTCCAATGCTTGACAACCCTTTTGGTGAAAAAACTTTTCCTACTATCCCATCTAAGCCTCCCCTGGCACAACTTGAGGCCATTTCCTCTTGTCCCATTGCTTGCTACTTGGGAGAAGAGACTGACACCCACCGTGCTACAACCTCCTTTCAGGTAGTTGTAGAGAGCAATGAGGTCTCCCCTCAGCCTCCTTTTCTGCAGGCTCAACAACCCCAGTTCCCTCAGCTGCTGCTCATAAGACTTGTGCTCCAGCCCCCTCACCAGCTTCGTTGCCCTTCTCTGGACATGCTCCAGCACCTCAGTGTCCTTCTTGTAGTGAGGGGCCCAACACTGCACACACTATTCCAGGTGTGGCCTCACCAGTGCTGAGTGCAGGGGGATGATCACTTCCTTACTCCTGCTGGACACACTATTGCTGATACACACCAGGATGCTGTTGGCCTTCCTGGCCATCTGGGCACACTGCTGGCTCATATTCAGCTGGCTGTCAACGAAAAATAACCTTTCTTTCTCCCTCCGCAGAGTTGAAAGATCTACTGACCAAGTAATCAAGCCAGTCAATGTGGAAGCATTGTCAAAGTGGGTTGGGAAGATACCTGCTGATGTTCTGCAAGATATGCCAGTGATTGCACCCATGCTAGCAAAACTGGGTTATGATCCGTATGCCAATCCACCAAATTATGGAAAGCCAGATCAAAAAGTTGTGGAAAACACAAGGAGGGTAAGGCATTTTTGTGTGTTTAATTATTGACCGAATGGATGTGAGATATAAAGCAGAAGAGTCTTGTGTTTTGCTTGGTTTTAAGTCTGTTTGTAATACCTTTTGATATGTAGCAATATGTTTTCCTTGGTGTGGGGGGAAGAAGGCAGAGTTCTGTGGCACCTGGAGCACTGAAAGTCTGGCTCCTGCTGTTTGTCTTCAACTTCGTTCATCTTCCTTTACCCCAGCCCCAAGCTTGAGCAGCGTTCTTTGGTGTATGTAGCTGAACATCTTGGGAAGCGTCCAGATAGTTGGGGAACTAGTTAGTTGTGGGAAAAAAGCTGACTTTCTTGTTTGGGCATCAAATTTGATTGATGAGCTCAGCTTTTTATACATGAGGGTTGGCAGAAACTCTGTCACAAAATTACACCCCAAAATACTTGGTAGAATTTGAAAAGTGACCCATTGAAAATGACCCAAGATAATAAAAATGTCAAGATTTTCCAATTCTTTGCTGTCCTTTGTGGAACAGACAAAAGATGGAGGAAGGTCTGTTGCTGATTAACCTAAACTTAAGGACTTTAGTCTGAATTTAATGTTGTTGGAATTTGAGTATTTAGGCTATACAGCTGTTGATCCCTGGAGGTATCCATTTAGAAGCTCATCACCATTGTTTGAAATAAGAATAATTAACTCTTTACATCTGTTCTTTTGAGAATGTATACTTTATTAAAAGAAGGTGATTTTTGCTGCTGCAGGAAAGTAATCATTGGCAAAATTGAATTAAGCAATTTAAAAGGACTGTCTTCCACTAGCCTTCTGGTATTAAAAAAACCTGGTTGGTATGCTAATGGGCTAGATACTTGTGGGAAAAAGAATTGCTCTTTGTGAAGTCTCTAAACATTTTTGCATTATTTCTTTTTAGGAGACCTCCCTGGGAAAATTTCATTAAAGAGTTGATCAATGCATTAGAGGATGGCAGGCTGACTATTTTAAATAGTTGTTAGCTCAGCATGGAAAACGTAACCCACCTTTTCTTGTAAGGGTAGTAATGGTTATCATTTTATACGTTTCCTGGTACTTACAGTTTTAAAAGGCTCACAAACAAACTAACTTTTCTGCCCTCAATTCAACCCCTTTAATAAAAAAAAAAGTGCTCAAAACTACTTCCTGGAGCCCTGAAAAAAAAATCCTCATGCATCTACCCATACATACTATGAAATGGCCTCGGATCCCAATTTGTATTGTAACCAACCTTAAATTATTACACTACCTTTTACTGATACAATTTAAATAAATTTTTAAAGTATGGTGACCTTTCTGAGTCTTCTACCTGTGCATGGCAAGCTCAGTCTGAGTTGTAAAGATTGTACAGTTTTCAGTTGCTTACTGTTGGGCGGCTTCTTGAAATCTATTTAAGTTCAAAATGCATGAGAGAAATTCAGCTAATAAACAAAGCCACAAGCATACTTTTAAATTAAAAAGGCTAAAGTGTACTGAGGCTTTTTCACAAGCTTGCTTTGAAGCATAATTAGTTTGTTTACTAATATTTTAAAATGCTGTGAAAACCTGGAGGTGACTGTTATAATAGCTGATCAGAATATTGCAAGCATATGGAACACTTGTTAATATTTTGACTGCTATTTGAACTTAATAGTTTTACTTGCAGCCCAACACAGCATTTTAATTTTGTTATTTACTGTAGTACCCAGTATATATTTTCCTAGTTCCTTGTTCTTTAACAAAATTACTTTTGCATATATGGTTTGTATAGATAAAATGAGAGACATGTCCTGAACTAAGACTAAAATCCAGAAAACCAAAAGGATTAAAGATGGCTAAGCTTCAAAGCTGCATTTTCAAAAGGAGTATCGTAAGAAACATGAGGCTTTCAGAGTCTTCTCTATCCCAAGGAGCCATTTAAAACGATGGCTCAAATCAGTTGAGTTTGCATTTGGACGGCTTGAATTCCTCCCCAGTCATTTTGCTTTGTCTCCTCCCAGCTGGTTCCCAGCAAACCCCTGCTCAGACCATTGGGTCCTCCGTCTTTCTCTGTGACTGTGTCCTGTCATTGATGTCCTGACTTTGTAGGATTTCAAGATTTAAGGCTTCCCAACTCCCAGACCAGTTTGTGGTGTAGGTTACCTACTTCTCAGGGCAGCAGGCTCATCAGCCTCTCTAGAAGTGCCAGGCTTCCTGGCCATCGTATATCTTGTACAGTAAATTGCCAAAATGCTGGCCACTGAGCTTGGCCTTAAACCAAGGAAGTTTTGAAATAACTAGTATTCTGGTTGGTGATCAGCGAGAGCTGACTCACTTCTGAAAAATGCTTTGTTTTGTTTTCCTTTTTTTTTTTGTTTTATTTTATTTGAGGATGGGGAAAAATATCTCAACACACTTTAAGGTGTTTGGAGAAGGTGGGGGTGGCGGGGAGGAGAGAGAGGGAACTGTGATGTGTTAGCAGTTTTGCCCATCAGGGATAGCATATGCTGCCTTGTGGGTTTCCCCTTCTCTTCTATGTACATATGCTAATTTATTTCTTGTAACTGCAGCTTGGAGAAGAGAGCATTTAGTAAAAAAAAAAAAAATTAAAAAAAAAATAGAAATTATTTATTGATTGAGATTTTTCCAGCCTTTAGGAACTGGCACTTGACAAGTTAAGTGTATTATTGCATACTCTTAGCTGGTGACTTTGTAAATTACTGTAGCACTACTTTTGTTCTTACTCACTTTTTAAATTTCTTCACCTGGAATAGTCTTTCACAGAGTTTTGTAATGGGTGTATTGTTGGAGATGAAGCTATCCAAATAAAATCTTTCCAAAGTTCCTCTTCAGTACATAATAAGAATATATATAAATCTTGCATGTAACTATTTATTGCTTCACGTTGTGTTTGGAAGCTGTTCTATTGTATTTATATTTGTGGTCTCTGAGAACTTTAAACTGAGCACAGAACTCAAATTTTATTAATTGAAAACAGAAAAGTTTAGACTTCTAAAGCTGAACTGTACTGTGTTAGTATACCCCTTAGAGTGACTAACTTAGAATAATGTTGAAGTACCTGACACTTGCTACTCTGATACTGTTATAGTTTCTTAGTCTGTTTAAAATTGCATGAGCGAGCACTTCAGGTGAAGGACGTTGCTTTCTGTTTGCCAGACAGGGGCAATAAGAAGGGGGAAGGACTGATTTTTTTTTTTCACTTTTCTTTTTTATTTTTCTTTTTTTGTGGGGAGTGTTCAGTTTTGGGGGTGTTATGTAATGCTGGCTTAAATTGTGGAAGTTGCAACAACAGGGTGGAAGCACATCACCACTGAAATTACTGTCAGGGGAGATTCTGGCTCCACCTAAAGATGGAACAACACTTTGTCATTTAGTTCATTGCTATCAGATATGTTAAAAAACCCAAACAAATCAGTTCTTGTTGTTACAGAGAGTTCTTGTTTTGTATGATTAAAAGCATTTTTATACTGCACATACAAAATCATAAGGATGAGTGGAATGAAAATATAAAAATTGGTCAGGATGCAAAACATACTTATAGCTAGAAAGCCTCTTTTGAATGCAGACAGTTCACTATTTTATGAATAGAAGTCTGTGTATTGCCCAGTTGTAGAAGATAATTTAAATCCAAACTTTAAACCGTGCGATGTCTTTGTTCTAAAATGTGCTTAAATGCCGCTTGTGGAACAGCGTAAGGGTGCCTAAAACAAGGACTAGTACTGGAGAAAAATGGAAAGGAATGGCTAGTATGGTGCAAAATGTTAGCTTCCCCTAAGATTTCTAAGCAGTTAAGTCCTGTTCTTGTTTTTCATTTTCCTCTTTCTCCTTTTCTGTCCCCCTGCTGGTGACTTGCATATGTACAGATTAAATTTTTTTTTTTTCTTCAGTCTGGGAGCAAAATGATGATTCTCACCAGCTAAAGTACAATGCTTGAATTAGAAATTCTATGTGTTTTTAGGTGAAGCAAGGAAAATGATCCTCTCTGCTAAATTTGGATTGTTCACTTTAATGTTACCTGCCTAGGACACCAAAATGATTAGGTTGGTTTTTCCATGCTCCTGTAATACAGCACAAAAATAATAAGATGCAACCAGCATTTGTACTTTGTTACCTTAGTTCTGGTTTTGTGTTAGGAAGTAACAGAGCATGAAGCTAACTTCATCTCTTCTTACGATGTGTTATGTGTTGTTATGAAGTAAGACATCTCTGATAGATTTGTACTCCACCAGTGCAGATACTAACACACGTATAACATATTTTTTCTGATGCTTTCAATAACAAAGTCGTTAACGCCGTTAACTTTTTGCTTATCTGTTCTATGTTAGGCCTAACGATATTATCATTTGTGACGCTTTATCTTGTCTCGATTTAAGGAATGCAGAGCAGAAAGAACAAGGTCTGAGTAGTGTTGCACTATTCAGCAGATCTCTGCATGTGACCTCAAGAGGCAGCCTTTAGTTATTCAGTGACTGCAGAGTTGTGCTATCTTGTGTTTTTCTTCTAAGTCTGTTGTTATTCTGTTCATTTTGTTATAATCATTGCAAGGGTCACAGAATCACAGAATCGTTAAGGTTGGAAAAGACCTTTAAAATCATCAAGTCCAACCATCAACCCAACACCACCATGCCCACTAAACCATATCCAGAAGTGCCATGTCTACATGTTTTTTGAACACTTCCAGTGATGGTGACTCCACCACCTCCCTGGGCAGGCTGTTCCAGTGCTTGACCACTCTCTCAGTAAAGAAATTTTTTCCTAATATCTAGTCTAAACCTCCGCTGGTGTGGGTCCCTTCCTTATAGATACATAACTGACTACTCTCCCCCTCATCCCGCCCCCCCCCCATCCCCATGAGTTTTAACAAATTCTACATCCTGAATGTAAGCTCATTTTACAAGATGCTATTTTATTTTCAATCTGTAAATGATGAAGAAAATGCAAATAATTAAACTGTCTGAACTGGTACCCCAGTCACTATAGTCACTATATGATGAAATACAAAAGTAGAATCACTCCAC